TGCACTATTTCTGGCAGTCTGCAAAGGCCCTTAAATTACCCCACATTTTATAGGGTCTAGTTTAGTGATGGGACTTCAACACATCTAGAATCCAGGCTTGGTCATACTTTTAGTGTCTGCGTGTCTGTGTTTTCAAGTCTGTGATTTGAAAGCACAGGCACACATACAATAAGTATGAAATATCAGCATTTCTTGCATACCTGGCTGTTATAAACTACCATCCATTCCCACTTTTTACTGGAGAATACATTTCCATTGGATTCAAAGGGACCCACCTGTTTTAAGAGAGTGTGAGTCCCTCCAACCTTTTTCAAGTTTGTGGTTTTGAGTGTTGGACTAAAAAGGTCCGGAGATCAGGGTTCGATTCCCAGTTGAGCCATGAATCCCACCTCTTGGGCAAATCACACTCTCTCAGCCTCAGGGAAAGCAAGGGCAAACTTTCTCTGGAAAAAAATCTTGCCAAGAAAACCCCATGATAGCCTTGGGGTCTCCATAAGTCGGAAACGACTTGAAAGCACAGAAGAACCACAGATTAAGGCGTTTCACTGCGTTCAGTGGATTTAACTCCTCCAAAAAGTACAGCTAAATTTTTCGCCTGAATGCAGTTGGATTTACTCCCGAGTAAACACACAGGAGATCCCACTAGATATCTGCTAAAAACCGGGGTCTCTGGGGAAAGCTTTTGCAAAGACTTCCCTTCCCAAAGGCTTGGCACTTTTCACAGAGAGGCAGCTTGCATGGCTTCATGAGGACTCTTTCGAGGAACTGAGATGTCGCTTTTAAAAAATCAACCCATTTGTCCTCCTTTGCTTACAGAGTTCTTGGAAAACGTTTTGTGTGCCTAAAAAAAGCTTCGATCCCTGGATGGAGTCCAGCTCTCGTGGTATTATTGCTTGCTCCTTGACTGACCAATGTGGAAATTGCAAGAGGCAGACACACACCCCCAAAAAATGGATCCTTGGAGTGGCTTCAGCTGGAAAAGGTCCCCAGGTAGAGAGAAGAGCTCCTTTTCGATCCAGCCAAGAGGAGACACCCAGGCTGCAATCCTGTCTACCTGGGAGAAAGGTTTCTCTTGAGCTCAGCTGAGCTGACTTCGGAGTAGGCTCACCCAGGGTTGCAAATTTCGGAAAAGATGAAGGAATGCCTTTCCATAGAAAGCTGATGTTAAGTGAATCGGGTCCCCTGTTTCCCTCGGATCCCAGCCATGGAAACTAGGGGCCCTTATGGATATCAAATTATGGTATGGAAGCTTTACCTAGCCTCCTGATCTCGATCCACAAAACAATTGGTATTAAATTCTTAGGAAAAAGGCACTCTGAATATCTGTATCTGTGTCTGTGTCTGTATATCATCTGTATCTGTATCTGTATCTATATCCATCTATCTATCATTTTCCCCAAGAATTTAAAATCAGTTGTTTTGTGGGTCCAGATCAGGAGCCCAAGTAAAGCTGCTTCCATACCATAATTTATATAGTTATATTATTTACACATATACACACACACATGCATACATACATACGGATGGAGTGCCTTTTCCTCACGAATTTAATATCGTTTTGTGGATCCAGATCAGGAGCACAATAAAGGCTCCATATCATAATTATGTGTGTGTGTATATGTGTGTATATATACTATAATATATGTATATATAATGTGTATGTGTATACATATATATATATATATATATATATATATATATATATACATATTATAGATAGATAGATAGATAGATAGATAGATAGATAGATAGATAGATATCGGATGGATTGCCTTTGACACAGACACACACATATGGATGGAGTGTCTTTTTACCCAATAATTTAATAGTTGTTTTGTGGATCCAGATCAGGAGTAAAGGGTCCATACCATAATATCATCATAATATCATATATATATTTACATGGTTATGTCATTTGATGTGATTTTAAGGGTTGTTTTTTTTCTTCCCTTGTTCCCAAAATCCCCTCCTAAAACGATTCACGAACTAAACGCGAGAACGTTTATTTTTTAACTCCAGTCAAAAGCAATGGGGGAATTAATTAACTCTCAAAGTGGGAAGTGTGCAAAAGTGATCAGGCGTGGAAGGCAAGTAGTTATCCTTGAATTCAGTGGGGCTCGTTGTTTTCCACGTGGCGGCAATTAAACAGGAGGCGTTACTTGGAAATAGTTCCCACTAATTCCCGTTACTTCCACCACCACCCAACCCAAATAATGGTACAGGAAACGAGTCCCAATGGGATTTTGTTGAGGCTACAGAGTTGGTATAGTCTAGATTTAAATCCTCGCTATAGACGGGGTTAGGTTGGTTTGAGGTTTGCTCGTTCAGGATTTCGATCCTAAAAACCACCAAGTACAACCCAGAAATGTTTAGGCTAAGACCCTCTACCCCACCTTTCGCCAATCGGATGACCTCCAAATGTGCCGAACTACAACTCCCAACGCTTCAGTTGAGCAAAATCTCATTTAGGGGGGTTGCAGACTGCCAGAAACAGTGCAAATTGAGTCCACCTTAAGGGTTAGGGTTAGTGCTAGGGAATCATGGGAATTGTTTTTTTCTGAGACATTGAGCCTTCTCTGTCAGAGAGCTCTGGTGCCACAATAAAATACAGTTCCCATGATTCCCTAACCCTAACCCTAACCCTTAAAGTGGACTCAATTTGCACTATTTCTGGTAGTCTACAACCCCCCTAAATCTTCTTGTTGTGTGGGACTTTAAGTCGTTTCCAACTTATGCCGACCCTAAGGAAAACATATCGTGGTGGGATTGGTGTGTTTCTTGCAAGATTTGTTCCCAGGGGATTTGCCATTGCCTTCCACTGCGGCTGAGAGAGTGTGACTTGCCCAAGAGAGTGTGACTTGCGTTTTTGCACGGCTGAGTGGGGATTTCAACTCTGGTCTCCAGAGTCCTAGGCCAACACCCAAACCACTATACCACGCTGGCTCTCCATTTATTCTTATCCCACTAAAAATGAGGGTTTATTATGGATCATTTCTAGCTGGTTTCCTGTTTTTCCAGACGAACATCTTTGACTTCTATATGTCTAAATGCTCAACTGACGTTTTAAGTTACTGCAGGGCTAGAAATTTGGGAACTGAAGTAAACTTTCATTGGGGATGCCTTCACTTTGCCCATTCCCCGTTTTATTATTATTATTATTATTATTATTATTATTATTATTATTAT